AACAAATGGTAAACACCACAGCGTACACTATTGAGTTATGGATGCACGCGGGAGGTTGCTAAGCACGAAAGAAGCGTAAGAGTCGCTCGAGGCGATAGCCGAGAGCGACTCTAGCTTCTTGAGTGCTTAGCAAACCTCCCAAGTGCATCCATAACTCAATAGTGTACGCTGTGGTGTTTACCATTTGTTTTATAACATAACATTGATACATTGTAGCTAAAGAGCTCCCTTTTATTTAACAAATCTTACGCGACCAGAAAAAACAAGCGCGCCCGGAAAAATAGTCTTTGCATTTGCTCCCGTCAGCAGCGTACACCCATGGGCAAATGGGGAACGCTAAATTGACCAATAAGAGTGCGCGTACTTTGGTTATGTTATAACTTAACATAAGGATACAGCTGTCGGCCTTCATAAAAGGTTTGCTCCTAGGAAACAAAAATGGCTAAAAAACAGCGAGAACAAACTACCGCGATACAATGTTAGCTTGTACATTCAGTTCTGTTTACCTAATTCTGACCTCGGGATGGTACTCTGGAGAGTTTTTGCTTTCAAATCCGAAAAACTTCGAGAGCATATGAACGTGAACAAAACAATACGATTGTTTCCAAGGATCTTAGTGTTAGATTAAAACTAGAACACAACAAAACAGATGTATGAGTTATTTTATCTGGATATTCATGCAATTAATTTCTGTTGATGTTTTGCTCACCGTGCTAGCCCAAGTTGCCTAAAAATAGGAAACAATTGCTCGCGAACAGTGACAATTTCTTCCTAATTCAGCCATTCCAACTCCTTTTGTTATTTTAGATGGATTTAACCTTTTTTTGCGTCTAAACAATATCATATCTTGTCATTTCCAACCGAATAAACAACTTCATCCTTACACAATTAGGAATTACCGTAACACATGCGCGAGAAAAAGCCCAGTGGATACACTGAACACGAAAGTGGCGGCCGATCAAATCGCCTGAAAATAAGCAAAAATTTAACAGGTCAATTACTGAGATTAGACTTATCTTGATTGGGCTTTGAATTCCCCGAGGCAAAATAAATTGATAACCTCATCAATGAAACAATGAAAAAACAATTTCAATTCATGAGTGAGAAACAGTCATGTTGAAACTTATGGCTATGAAAGTGGCGGCCGATCAAACCGCCCGAACATGCTTCGAATTCCCCATAGCAAACTAAAGTAATAACTTCATCGATGAAACAGAAAAATTATAGTAAATCATGCGCGAGAAACAGTCAAGTGGAAACACATGAACGCGAAAGTGGCGGCAGATCAAATCGCCCGAGTGAAATTCGAGGGGTCTCTGACTTAATGGTGATAAGTATTTTTGAAGGATTTTTATTGAGAACAACGCACGAAGCATTGATGTTTCGCAAGACATCCCCGGAGGTCTACTTAACAGTAATCTTTCAGTAATGATTGAAATATCACAATATCCTTTTTTTCCTTCTCATTTAGTTTTCTTATGTAATCTATCTTTCTTCTAGTCCACTCAAACATATAGTTTGTGATTCCGAACCAAATTAGAAACTTATTTAATAATGTAACCGACCATTCAGGGGAGATGTCAATCTTAAAGAAACATACTGAAAAGACGTCTACCGAAAGCAATGTGCTGATCATGTGAATCATTAGTCATCATTTAATCATCTACTGCTTGACAGCTGCAGAGTTGTTAAATGAAAAATTGCAAAATTTAATTAAATTGATGCAGGAGATTCATGCAAATCACTTTAGCTGGCTTTAGTTGGTAATCTTCTCCACCATTCACCTAATACAACTCAATTTGGTTTACTTTTCATACTTTATCTATCTTCTAATCTTCCCAAAGTTGTATTTTGCGGTTTCAAGCCAAATAAACAGCTCCGTCAATGAAACAATAGGTGGTTTGCAACCAATCTCTAGAGACGCAGGCAACGATGGTGAAAGGAACAAATGCTGGTGGACGAACAATAGGAGCTAATGAGATATCTATTGTTTACGTCCACCAACATGGCGGCAATGACGTAATGTGATACATCCACGTGAAAAAGTCAAGTGGAAGCACATGAAGATTAGGCTTTGAACTCACCATGGCAAACAAAATCGGCAACCTTGTTAATGATATAATCAGGAATTGCTGAAATTGATATGCGAAAAAGTCAAGTGAAAACACATGCACACAAGAGTAGAGTGTGTGCAAAAAAGCCTCTGAAAAACAGCCACACGTTAGATCCAACTCCTTGATCAGAGGTCCGTTTGATCTTCACTAGGTAACCAACTTAACCTACATGTATCAATTTTTTCCTAGCTTAGTTTACAAACGTTAAAAAGATGGCTAATACAGAAGATGTCCCACTGGGTATCAGTTACATTATCACTATCATCATCAACAGCGTTGCTTGTCCCTTCACAGTTCTGCTCAACGTGCTGGTGATAAAGGTAGTGATGATGAGGCCTCGACTCCGAACCAACAGCAACATCTTGCTGGCCTGTTTAGCGGTGACTGACGTATTAACTGGTCTCTTTGGCCAACCGTCGCATGTCTTGTGGAGGATATTCCTGATATCTGGTCTCAGTACTAGTGAAAAAGTAGAAGATTTCCATTTTAATGTTATGTTTATATTAGCAACTGCTTTATGCCTTCATCTGATATTGGTTTCTTTCGAGAGGCTTGTAGCGATAAAATTTACCATGCAATACCCAAACGTTATAACTGATAGCAACCTGAAAATAGCAGTGTCAGAAGGCGCTTAAAACAACTGTGTTTGTAATTGGGGCTATTATTGTTTGCCTTCTTCCCGCTTGCTTCTGTAGCACCCTGTCAGCTACAGGCCTTTATGGTATTTGTCCCATCAACGATTCACTCTGGCAAACTTGCATACTGTTGAACTCGCTCGTTAATCCACTGATCTACTGCTGGAGACAAAAAGAAATGAGAAAGTTCTTGTTCAGAATAAGAACACAGGTCGTGCATCCAGCCACCCAATGAAGAAGGGCAATATGGCAGAAAGACTGATAGACAGAAAAAAAACGGTATTTCTCGAAGTATTAATATTTCATTTCACTTAATTTAGATTTCAGATTAAATGGTATTGAATATTTCATTCGTCAGTGCTTTATCTTTACACTTCTTCGACACTTCTACGTTACTAAACCATCAAGTTTCCCAAGATTTTAAAATTTATTCTCCTGAAAGAGAACCATACTTTTCCTTTGTGGCTAGGGCCAGGAGTATGTATATTTTCTCACAATTGACGGTAATGTCGCAATCTGATTGGCCAATTTGCCGTTGTCGATAAGAGTAAACGTTCGAACAACGCTGCTCCACCCCTTCCTCAGAATGCCGCCACACGTCCGGGACTTTAATTAGTGTCTAGCGCGAAAATTTAAACTCGATCAAAGCTCAAAAGACAGAAGAGAAAATCACCCAAAACCTGCTGAGAGCACGCACGTTCTCTGCATTTTTGAGATAGCTACTCAAGTTTTACGATTATAGCTAGTAGATGGTCTTGAAGTTTCCCTGTAAATGATGGAGATATGTCCAGAATTGCATGCAGCAACGAAAATGACAGATTTGACGAACTTTAGTCAAAATCGTCGAATCCCCCAAGCTGATTTCGCCAAAATGGTCAAATCCATGAACATTCACTCGGTTATGTAAAGATGAAACAATTTTTAGTGTAATAGAAAAAATCCGAGCCCCAGATGGGACTTGAACCCACGACCCTCTGTGATCTAGTCGGATGCTCTAACCACTGAGTTACTTTAGACTCTATGGTGAGCAAGGGTCAATTTGTGGGCCTCGACTGGAACCGCATCGCGCGGCTACACAGCCGAGTATTGGTAAGCACCTGTGAAAACTCACTAACAGCATCACGCTGTCACATTAAGGCATATCAAGATGCGGCCAACCAACCTCCAAAGTGAACATGTAAAGATGAAACAATTTTTAGTGTAATAGAAAAAATTTATTCACTCGGTTTGACGAAATTTCGTCAAATCTGCCATTTTGTTTTTTTTTTCTTGTTTTTCGGGTTTTTAGGATTAATAGCAGTAGTCTCCAGTTTTTTCTTGAAGGAAGCGTAATTTGGAGGTAATTATTTCGATGTTAAGTTTTTCAGTCAAAGGTCGCTGGACTAAAAACAGCTAGCATGTGGCTTTGGGAACTTATTGTTTGAAGACGACTTGTACCAATTTGCAAGGAAAAGTAAAATGTCAAAGTTGTCGCAAAATTAAACTTTTCAACTTTCTTACTTATGGTGCAGGATTCTCTCTCCCCTGTCACTTGCATAACAAAAGAATGGACCGACTTTGAATTGACGCGAGAGTGTAAACTACATTACTTAATTCCTGAAGCCCATAGCCCTCATTATAATTTAAGGCGCCAAAGAACGTACAATGTACCACCAGCCAAGACAAAGCGTTTTGATAATTCGTTTTTCGTGAAGGGTGCGGCTGTAGAGAACTTTTAATAGAACTTTCAGTCATCACATTTTTTATTTGTATAGTAGTAGTTTGTAAAAAAATTGCGCAATTCAGTATTTTTGGTGCGATGTGATTTTAATAAACCAGTCTATCTATCAGTCTATCAGTGCTGCCTGCCGCCTTGAAACAATGGGAACCTTATGCAGTCAGGATGGCATCGACAAGTAGCATTACTTTACTGAATTAAAAAGTATAAATTCAATTTCTAATTTTTTTCTAGTTCTTTAGAAAACTGTGAAAACAAGATTTGTAGAGATTTCGCAGAGATAATGGTACCGTCCTTTTCTGCAATGATCCGAGTGTTCACAAGAGGATCGTTCATTCGCTGTGAATGTCTCACCTTGTCTCACAACAATCCTGCTCGCGATTTCCTTCCCTTGAACGGACGCAACGAAACCAGAAACCATCTGGTTGTACGCTTCCAAACTTTTGAAGGCCTTTAACTGTTTGTTTGTTTAGTAGCTTGTCTCTAAAACTAAATAGGAAAGCAAGTCCGAGACTTCTATGGGAGGCAAACATTCCGAGCTGAACTGCTCGCTCGGTATGGTCGCTGGATCTACGCCAACCACAGAAATTTTCTTCAAATGGCGCTCTCGGACGTGGCTTTCGAGGTTATCTACGTAGGATGAAAGTACTGGTACCTCATCGTGTGATTTTGGGTCGCTTTCTTCGGAAATATCCATTAGTAAGATGAATTATTTGAGGACTTTGAACGCGAGCGCTTAGAAATGGCATAGATTTCCCTACAATTTCACACCTCGCATGGGCACCAACATGGCGGAAATCTAATTTGCATAGGCTAATGACGTCATAACTTTACTCTGCGGCTTTTCAGTGTGTAAATCTCAGTATATATATAATAAAGGCTTGTAATAATTGCTATAAATTTAAAAGCGATATTTCTAGCACTAGCATCTGTGATTACAACCATTAATGGATATCGGTTTTCGCGTGTTGCACATGTAATGGGTGGGAGTCAAAACTGACATAAGGTAAGTTTGAACGAGAGATGCTGGGAAGTAGCAGGTTTTTACGGTAGTCATATTGTAATGCACGTGATAATAAATATTTGACTGTGACGATGAATTCTCATTTCGCTGGAGTGATAAACTGCAATTACTTGAATGAAAGAACAACTTAAGGTAAGCTTGACTCGGAATAATCGCCTAACAATAGTGTGGCAGAAATCGGAAGATGACAAAACGTGGAGCCCTACTCCATGGAGTACCCTGTGGAGTACCTGAATGGAGTACCCCTAAAAATCATGTATTAGTCAAATAAAATACTTTATGAACATGGTGAATCGTTTAGATGTTTATATCCTGATATATTTTGAGCTTGTCAGCTCTGCGATTGTCGCAGTTCGATGTAGTACACGAATTAACCGCCATCTGGAAATTAACATTAAACTGCTGACCACTTCCAACGGAAAGATTTAATGTAGCTAGCATCCATGAACATTATCATTAATAGGCCGACTTCTATCTATTTCATATGATCTTCAAGAGGCCAAAAGGACGGACATCCTTCATTCTGCAACGGGTTTTACGTCTTTCAAAATACCTGCTTGTGTCAGTGTGTGGCGTCTGTAAGAAGTGTAGCACTCCATTTAATAACACAAGGCCTCATGGGTTTCTTAATTGTGCGAAGCTATGAGGATACAAGCTTACATTTGAAGGTTGAGACTTAAAAAAGGTAATCCATATCTTTAACTGAGCTTCTCCTCACCCATCTATTTGTAGCGTAATAAAATTGAGGTATGTAAGCAAACCAAAAAAAAAAAATAAAACAGTGACGGGTCGGCAAATGAATCCGACTGGGGCCGTTGATTTGGGAAATGTAGTATGCTTAAATATTTTACCTCGTACAGAACTTGAAACAGTGGCTTTTGTTCATCACGTGGAGTTTTTTGTCTTCCTATCAAAGGACTCATTACACAGCGGTAAAACCAAAATGGAGGAACCCCTAAGACTGAGAGCCCTAGCCACCTGTCCCCCAAAAAACTGGATTGTATCGAACTGTCACATTCGGAGAGCCGGTAAGCTCAAAATATTTTAGGATATGTACATCTAAACGATGTACCATGTTTATGAAATAATTTATTTGGCCAATACATGACTTTTAGGGGTACTCCATTAAGGTAATCCATAGGGTACTCCATGGAGTAGGGCTCCGCGTTTTGTCTTCGCCCGCAGAAATCTGTTACCAAAGTAACGAGGCGCAACGTGGGAATCTATGCATCACCACCCGCCTTTTATCTTCCGTTATATCAGTTTCTCTGTTTACAGGCTTTTAGGGAAAATAGCTGAGCTAAGAACGCTTTTTAGATGGTTTTACTCTGAGCCATAGGAAAAGTTGACCTGTAGTACGATCCTTGGAAGATGAGGTTAACAAAAGCAATTCATTGCCCATCCATGCTCCTTACTAAGGCATTCTTTGAATAACAACTTGAAGAAAACCATAGCCTAGCCTCTTAAGAGCAGATCCGTGTAAGAATAAAAAAAAAATCACAAATCTTCGGTAAAGCTGAAAAAAAATCAAATTCACTCGTCTTTTGCATATTGATAGCCTTAAGGAAATATATGAATGCCATGTAGTTTTTTCCTTGAAATATCTGTTAGTTCCTGAGAAAAACAATGGAAACCGTTTTTAAGTTAGTCACAACTTGGCGATCCCAAACACGTACAAACAGGGTTGAAATTAATCATGATTCACTTTACTGCCTTATCAAAATTACTGCGCTAGAAAAAGCTGTCATAGTTCCAATTTGTTGTATAACTTGCTATGGTCTAAACCCCTGGATTTCATAAACATTAGATTTTACCTGAGTATTCAAGAGAAGTAAAGAAGTTATGGCTCTCCCGTGCTTCGTAAAACGGTAGGCGTTTCAATGTAAAAATCCTGATTCATTAGAACACACCTTCTTGGAGTGCCCTATGAGTATTCAATCCTATCAAGAAATCCTATCGTGGTTCAATACTTTGAATAACACCCACATAAGTTTATCTGTTGACAAAGTTTTACTTCAGAATTACCCCCTCCTTCTATTAGCGATAACCTCCGCCGCCGACTGGTAATCTAAGGTAGTCAAACAACAAACATATGAACTACATATATATGAACTGCGGTTATGAAACGTATATGTGCACGATCCTTCGCAGTAAAGCACTATTTAGGCAATAGTGAAAATCAGACCTGAAAAAAATTCAGGCCTGTACGGGATTCGAACCACTGACCTCTGCATATACATATACGTTTCATAACCGTTTCATAACATATAACATAACATAATATCATAACATACGTTTCATAAACGTTTCATAACATATAACATATACGTTTCATAACCGCAGTTCATATATATGTATTTCATATGTTTGTTGTTTGATTTATCATCTTACGGGTTTATGTCGAATTAATTTGATGGCCTGCTCCCAGTTGGCTTGTTAGCTCAATTGGTAGAGCGCTGCACTAGTATCGCAGAGGTCAGTGGTTCGAATCCCG